TTTCCTGTTTAACTTGATTAGCCTGCATATGATTTTACTCCTTTTTTTAAGTTTTCTGTAGAAATCCAATAAAAAATTTCAGGAGCATGCAGCTGGTTAATGTTAACAAAAGACCTTGACAGGATCATGTAAACTAAATCGGATGTCATGCTTGGGGCCTTACTGCCAGCAACACTGGAGAGTTGTTTCATTAAAAGTGAATACTGTACACTGAATAAGGGATAACTTTCTGCAGCCTTCATAATCTCACACAGTAAATATACTTTAGATTTAGGTACAGGACACACTTTGGTGTCACGGCTGAGTATGTCCTTGTGCAATTTCTTTCATTAAGTCCTTATGAAGCTACAAGTTGCAAATCCAAAATTCTGCTCCCTGAGGACACAGCTATGTGAGACCTAAGTACTGTTTTAGTTCTCTGCCTATCCTGAATTGCTCTGTGAACCTAATCTTAAATACCATCATGTAACAATCACAAAAACTTTTGCTAAAGGCCATATATACTAATAAAAAGACAGTGGTGCTTCCAACATTTTGAAATGCTCTGAAAACCAACTTTTCCAATACTAAATACAACAAAATAACCTTCATAAAATATAACTTTTCTCCATTTACATTTTTAAAGGATTAGTAACCTATGCTTTTCAAGCACAGGAATCTGCGAAATAACTCCTAACATGGACAGATTTTTTTTTAATACATAAATTAAGAAACTGGAGAGTTTTAACCCAAGTCCAGTTTCCAAACAAGGAATATTCTTGTTTACTTTAAAAATGGAAATCACATGCATTTCCATTATAATTGTTAAAAAGTTAGCTTTACAAACGAGGGTATTTTAATTAAAAAAAAAAAAAATCTTAACAAAACTATACAGTGTACAAATTACTGTCTACAAGGTAGGCGGTTCATTCAGAAGATCCTCCGTTCTTCTCGCTACTTGCAGCTTCACAAATTCATTCACATATTTTCTACGGAGCTGCCCACCTGAACATCACCCCACAACTATATTGCTATAATTAATATTTTTGCCATGTCTTTATGTACAGTCTCCTTCACTGCCTTTTTTTTTTTTTTCTTACTCAAGCCTCAAATGTTCATGTCACTCTGGGGGAAACACACTTCAGTGGCACAGCCATGAGGCCAGGGCTGCAAAGCAACTTAATAAAGGCAGAACAGTGCACATAGAACGGGGTGGCTCAATTTAGTCAGAATACACTTCCTGGTGAAGGAGGAGGCCAGAGACTGGATTTGAGTTCTCAATCTTATCTTAATCTTTTGACTACTGAGCTTAAAAAAAACAAAAACAAAACAAAACAAAAAATAATAAAAACAACCTGAAACCACACCTACAATAAATGAAAAGTTCATTTTCTTCTAAACAGGCTTTCTTAGTAGAGAGGCAGGTGGAAAAAACCCACAGTTGTTTAACAACCTAATTAATTCACATTGAAAGAAGGAGTTAGTTTTTTAAAATCCCGCATTTGTAAGGTAATTCTTTTTTTCATACAGGAGGTCAAAATTAAAGTAAAATGCTCTGTGTTGGGCAATAATCTTCCCACAAGGGAGATCACAGTTTTGACTATTGTACTCTGAAGACTAAATTTCTTTCAGTTTCATCCTGGTGTGCTACTAAAAGTTGAAGGGGTACACCTTGCTAACACCACTCATCAAGAATAGCCTCCCTGCACACCCTTCAGCTCCTGAAGTGCTCAGTACCAGCGGTGTGCAGAATGGACAATACCTGCTTTGTTTTATGAGGCCTAAGCCTGTGGTGTACTCTGGGTGGGTCTAGTATATTTTGGTAATCTCAACAGACATGAGCTTAGTGAATTAATTCGTTTACTACAGGGTTCCAAAAAAGATCATCATAGAGTGGATTTTCACTTTCTTTTGGTGTCTTATCTTTTTGTGGGGTTTTCTTTTTTTTTTTTTTTTTCAGTTTAGCACTAGATAAAATCTCCAGGATTTGCTTTTTTGCAGCTCCTGTCTCTGCGCCAATTCAGGCCCTGCTGGAGACACAGGGATGTGACACCTCCACAGGTCATGAGGTGTCTCAGCACTGGCCAGAGCCAGAAGGAACTGACCGGGATGTGTCACTGCCCAGTGCTCAGTGGGGCAGCTGTTGCTGGAGCTACAACTCTGGGGCTTCCCCAGGGTACGAAAACCTCCAAAATGCAGAGACAACTGCAAAGGGATAAAGTTTTCCACTGGGGTATCCCATATTTACAAGTCTATACTCTCCTCTGCTTGCACCCTAACAAAAGGATGTGCTGTTTGAGAAACAGTCACTGTCTCGAGCCATACATCAGAAAGATCCTTGGCGTACAAGACGTCTTCAGCGACAAGCCCACTGCTGGTCTAAAAAAATGTGATTTTACTGGTAATACCCTTTTATTTATATCATAGACTAATTCACCGCATTAAGAAACTTCTTCCCCACCAGAGCCCAGAGCTCCCCATCTGACCTGCTGTATGAGAAGATACTGCAAATCTCTGACACAGCCTGAGCAGGCTGAAGTTTGTAATTCAGATGGTATGCATCAAGAAACTTGGAGGAAAAAAAAAAAGTGTGTTTTGACATAGGGGGGGGAGGGGAGAAAGAAAAAAAAAATTAAAAAAGGGAATATTTATTAGTCAAGCAGACTAAGGGAAGTAAATTCTCTCTGGGAGCAACTCCAGAGTCAGCTGGAGTCAGTGGAATTATGCCTGCAAAGATAAAGATTTTTGCCCTGTATGTGCATTTCCTAGACAAAGAAAGCATCTTTGTCATTCTGAGATGAAAACATTTTCTAACATGAACACTTTAGGGTGCCCTATCTTTTCCAGAATAGAAAAGGCTTCATCTCACTGTGGGTCTTGACCTCTTTCTCTGTCTGTCTGTCTCTCTCAAGGAAAAAAAAAAAAAAAAAAAAAACACACCTTAGAGTAAAACAATTTCCTCAAGTCGAGTCTGCCTCCAACAGAATTCATTATTTATTTTTTAAATCCAGAAATGATTTCAGCTTGCACCCCAGGTGGGAAGTTAAAAAGAGGGAACCGATTTGGAAGTTTGTCACAGTAGGCAGAACAGTCGCTTTGCAGCCCTTGCCTGGCTAAGGGTGCACTGCTTCACAGCTACACTGTAAAGTGTTAAAAATCCTCCCCACCCACCCCAGTATATATATATATGTATGTATAAAAAAAAATCCCCTGTCCACCACTCAGTACAGAAAAGGACCTCATCACACTGCAAAAATAGCAGTACCCACTTTGGTCAATTAAAACAAACAAAAAAAGCATACATTATTCTTTTTTTTTTTTTTTTTTCCTTTTAAATCTGTGTACTTACCTATAATAACCATTACAGCTAAAAGCACTACCTACATAGGCAAAACTTGGTATTGCATAATTCGTATAAATTTGTATCCCCTCCCCCCAATATTAATTGGAAGATGAAAAAACATGAAAGCTTAATAGAAAACACCAAAATACTGAAAATATTGCTGGTCGATTACAATTTTTAAGCGGCAACTATACACAGCCATGATATGCTTTATAAATGTGAGATAAAGGTATAACTGTCTAAAAAATCCATGATGTCACACTTTTTTTCCCATCTGGAGTACAAAATATTTTGTCATAAAAATGGTAAAGATTTAAAATGATAATAAATGCAGCAAAACAAGTGTAATGATGTCAATTTTTTTGTGGTTTTTTTTCCTTTTTTTTTTTTTTTTTTCCATTTTTTAGATTTCAAGGCAAGGCACGTAATGTGGACATTATATCTTCGTGCAAATTAGGATTACTGGAAAGAGTATTTTAATAATTTTCCTTTTTTAAAGAGACATAGAGGCAAAATGTCTGCCCATGCACGTTATATTTCTGTCAATATGTGAAAATTGTTGAACAAGGCTAACTTCTGAAAGCACCATGCAAGTTTTCAGCACCCTGTAATTAGACTTACATTGAGTGCATTATTTATATATAACATATCCCCATCCTGGTATTACCAGTTTGTAAACGGTAAGCTTTGCCCTTGTGACATGGATTTGCCTATCTCTTTGTCTCTATGAAGCAGATTTTCCAGAAACATGTAAACCCTATGGGTTATTGATGCAACCAGTAACTTTAAATAAATAAATCCTACCCCTCTGTGGAGGCAGCAGCTAAACCAACATAAGTGCTGTGTTTCCATTGATTCTGTTTTCTCAAGGACATGATTTGTCTTGATTCAATGCCTTTTAATGCCCTCAAAAACTGAGGGGAAAAGTAAGTTTGTTCAAAGCAATTTTTATTTCTATTTTTAGTCCCCTCAATTTAGAGTCCAAGGGCTGAAGGACTTATAGTGATGACCCCTTAGATAGGCTATTTAAATTGCACTTGCCTCTGTAAATGTCTTTTTAGTGGGCAAAACGTTCACTTTTTTTCCTTTTTTTTTTTTACTGTTGCATGAAGAGATAACACTTACACCTGCGTAGAGGCATTTCTTCCATAGAGCCCGTGTGTTCATACGGATTGAGAAATTCAAACTGCATAACACACTAGAAAAGGCTGAATTAAGGGCCAAAGTTTAATAATCCATACTGTTAACTAAAGGCTACAGAGCTTATTTTTAAAACATTTAGTAATCAGTGTTGAGAAAATGGCTGGCTCACAGCCCTTGTCCTCCTGCAGCTCTCTTGCTGCTGCCTAGCCTTTGTTTTGTGAGATAACCAGGAATAGTGATCCCATGCGTAAACAACAAGAATGCTAAACCAATAAAACTAGCTTATCATGCAAATATTAAGGCATCTAGAAAGTCAGTTAAAATATAGTGTCAGAGACAGAACATCTATTTCCCAGCAGACTTCATATAACAAAGGCTACTTAGCAGAGGCTGCATTTAACCCATCAGTGAAATATCATCGACCCTTTTTATGTCATTTCAGTTTCAACCATAAGGGAATTAGTGATTGTAAGAGCTGTAATTGCTGGTCTATTTTTTTCTTCTTTCTTCAGTTGTTTTTCTCATCCTGTCTTCCTTTCTTTTTTACTTTTTCAATTTTTTTTTTTTTCCCTCAGTTGCTTGTTTCTGCTTGAAGGAAAGGCTCTCCAATTATGTTCAAACCATAATTTGGGACATTTGTCGGCAGGATCGGTGTCCTATTTGATACTTGAAAAGGAACCAAGCTAGCCCAGGTACCAGGACTGTTGAAAAGGAGAAAGAGATAGCAAGAGAGAAAAAGAAGGAGGGGGAAAAAAAAAATTAATATGTTTCAAAAACTAAAACGCAATGAATTTGATTCAGTGTTAAGCCAATATTCATTATTAATAACACTACTTAAAATAAGAAAACAAAATTACTCGAGATTCTACTTCACAGTTCTCTTTGTGGATGTATAGACTTACTTGAAAGAAAAATAATTGCATTGATTTCAGTTGCAAGTAGTATTACTGGTGTGTTACACTAAGTGTCCTCTTCGTCTATGAGAGCCCCCAAAAATTTCAGATGCAAATATACAGAGCAAACACAACTAAACCACACAAGTGACACAATATGGCACCACAGATGTTACTTAAGAGCTAATGAAATACACAACAATGTGCAGGTTTGCTCTTTTCAAGAACACATTTAGAGGTTCAGTGGTTACAGTTCCTGGGCTATTTGCTACCCTCTTACAACTTGGCAGTTTGTCTTCTCTCAGTCCCAGGATTTGTCTCTGAAGTGCCTGGGTCCCCATGAGAACAGAGAAACTTTAATATTAAAAACAAACAAACAAGCAAACAAAACAAAACAAAACAAAACAAAACAAAACAAACAAAACAAAACAAAACAAAACAAAACAAAACAAAACAAAACAAAAAAAACCTGCTTTCTGTAAGGATTTTTCCCAAAGGATGTCAGTGCCCAAGGAACACTGGATATCTCAGGGCCCAATCGTATAAACGCTTGGAACCAACGGTAACAGTGAGTCAAGGGTAGCAGCAAGCACCGTGATTTTTTTTTACAAACATCTGAGAAAGAAAATATTTTTGAAGACAATGTAATGACTTCAGAACTTATCATTCACGTGTTTACCAGGCACCTAAGATGCTGTACCAAACAGTAGCTGCAAGATGGATACTCAAAGAAAGATCTCAGCTGCCTCTATTCAGTAAGCAGAGCAGGCCTTGAGCAGCCTTTTCCTTGGATGTGTTTCTGGCAACCCAGTAATAATGGACTTCAGACGAAGTTTATTCAGAAGAAAAACAGCATCATTATGTTAGCAGTCATTGCCAAACAGCTGACACCAGACCTAGACACACAGTGTGCTAACGTGCTTCCTCCACAATGCATTGTATAGAGGAGTTCTTCACAATAGGTGCTTCCACAAACACAATGGCTTACTTGGGAATTCACATTGGGATTGGGATTACACCGATAAATTCCATGATACCACATCTGAAGACTAAAACCTGCAACCTATATTTTATTTAGGACAGATGCTGGAACTTTTCTTCCTTCTCTGTCCTTGGTCAGCCCTCTGCACTGCTCAGTCACTGGTTGAGCAGATGCACTTCTGTGGCATTGGGTGTAAAGAGGAAAACAGACCCTTTTTATCTACTCTAAATGTGCACAAAATAAATACACTTCACTTGGCAGACTTATGTAATCCTTTCAGTTGCTCCTGTACGAACATTAAAGAGGTTAACTTATTTTGTAAAAACCAGGGGACGTGTTCCTCAGGTCTTTTATATTAAAAAAAATACAGTTTCTGTCATTTACTCCTGTTTAATACTCTTTACCTCTCTAAACGTGCTAATTTACTATTTTGATTCCAAAAAAAATTCATTTTCAGGTGCTCCGTTTTACACATAAAAAAAGTGGGTGAAGAATTGCTCACCTACTTGTCTCAATGAGGGTCAGATTCTGAAGAGAGCAGGACTATTTTTTTTTCCTCAAGGAAATATAAGAAATATGAATATCCTAATATATTTTGAATGTCTGCAGTACAAATGTTATTCAACAGGGTGGGTTTTTTCCCAAATAGTTATATTCTTGAAGGTCACCTGAACATATGCGAAGTTTCAAAGTCTTCAGAAATTAAAAGAACCTTTTCTATATTTTCAGAAGCTGGCCTTATTCTACTGACCATTACCGCAAACCTTGAAATGTTCACAAAGGCATAAATCCAGTTATGTATGAATGATTTGTCCAATAGGATCTGAGGAAAAATATTATCTTTCAAAAAAGAAATTGAACACCAGAACCTCATTTAAGGGATTTAACTGTTTCAGCTTATTCTTCAACTTCCTTAATAATTTTTTGTTCCTTCCTCTTCACATTTTAGTGATGTTAAGAAGTAAATTCTGAAGTAACACAATGCAGGCCATTTCCAAGCACTGGAGTCTGTATAAATAAGAACTAGTAAAAAAAAAAAACATAAAAATAAAACCCTCAAGCAGTCTTCTTTGCTCAGAATCTGTCTGAATACATGTTTTACAGTGCACAGTTCTTTGCTGTCCTGTTACATGGGATTTACAGTGTTTAGCAACTTGAAACAAAATAGAGCGCTAACTAAAAGGTCAGCATACCATTTAAACAATTTCTCTTTCAAAGGCTAAATATACAGCTTGCAGGTTATCTTTCTGAAGACTTACAGTGCACTTCAATGGTTGGATACAAATATATATATGACTTTTATTTGTTTTAAAGTTGACGGCCTTCTAATGAATACTATCGGTGGAAGAAAGAAGCCAGTGCTAACAAAGAGCAGATTACTATTTGTAACAGCTTTTTTATCTACTACTTCATATCGGCGATAGAGGTCATGATTTCATGGCAAGTGCTCAAAAAAAATAAGTTGCAGCATGTTACTAACAGGACTGCTGTTGCCTATGACCTACAAATTCAATATAGGTTTTTATTTAAAACTTTAAGTGTCCCACCCTATATTACAGCCATGACAAAAATGTAGATTACTACAAATTTGTTAGTGCTGCCTATCCATCCTCAGGGTGTAATAAATGCTTGCTAACACTGTGCATAGCCCCCCGGAGTTTTGGAAGCCCCTCACATTGCTTGTGCAGATCCTCCTGCTGCTGGCCAGAGACGGTGGTACAGGCAGCCGAGAACCTGTGGCACCAGGACAGCTACACGGGGGCTGGAAAACGCATCAACGACATCTCTGAGGGCAGGCTGAAGCCCCTGATCTGCATGCATCCTCTGGGCAGTGGTTGGCCCTGTTGGCAGCCAAGAAGGACAGGGCACCCCTTCTGTGTGCTAGCACTTCCAAAGCCATTATCTTCAAGGCATAATAAGCTCCAGCTGTATTTTAGAAATTAACCTTATCATACTGCAGTTTGGTGTAGCTCATATCTCAGGCCAGACCAGTCCGGATACAACCGCCAAACTCTGTCTGGGGGCCCGCATGGATGGCAATGGCAGGAGATGAAGGGAAAACACCTTTCCCTTCACCACGCTATGTGGGGTTTGTGTAAGTCCTAGGTAAACTTCCAGCCCTTGGTTTTATAAAAGCAGAGGCAATGATCTGCCTCAGCACCAGGTAAGTGAAAACTCATTCCATTGTCCAGGACACAAGCAAGCTGGTTCTCCTTGCAGAAATTAATGACAGGTCACTCTGCCCACACTGCTTGTTCTTCAGATAAAAAAGCTTTTTATGTGTGAGCAGAATAAAGCAGGTCTACACCACTCTCCAGCTCACTGCTCCTGAGGAAATTTATGGGCCCTGCACTGACAAAGGTCATAATATAAATGTCTGTCCCTTGGAATATGAAGTGAGACCTCCAAAAAGCCTAGGTTAAGTTTTGAAGAAAATTACACAAGAAGCACCATCAGATGTTGCTGTAAGATTCAGACTAGTAGCCTTTGTGAGAGAGATTATGGTTTGCAGAACCACCTTCCTGAAGCGTTATATCTCTAAGTCATTTCACTACCAGAAGCAGTTTTCTCTCAGCATAACTAGACTATCAGGTGTGTTATACATTCACCAGTTCCCTCCCTACCCGCAGCAAGTATAATGCATTTTTCTTTTCAAACATCATAAAATAGCAAAGGAAAATTCTGCAAGCATCCTACAGGGTTAACATCCTCCATTACAGTTCCCATTACAGTTTTCACATGTTAATTCAATCAAGACTTCTGCCATGATTTCCTCCTAAAGATAATAATTGCTGTTTCAAGAACCTCTGATTAAAATATTACTGGAATGGACCACTAGAAGTACTAACATTGTATGTATATACAGTCTGCTTTGGAGGTTATAATAATATAAAGAATATAATAATGTTAAACAATTAACTAAATGAAATAATACTAAATCTGATTAGACCTGAGTAAAACCAAAGGATTTTAAGATTCTTATTTTCCAGCAGTTACTACCTGATTTCTTTTACAGCTTCAGAAGTCTGTAAGAGTATATTCACCATTTGGAAAGCACATCTATCCAGTTTTTCCCTCTTGCAGCTTTACCACACTGTTGCATGAAAACACTACCTTAGACAAGGTAGATCAGATCATACCACGTCAGTCTTCGGAGAGAAAAGGCAGAAACGCCTTCGATGACAAAGGAAGGGGCACTAGCATGTCACCAAGCAAGGTTTATCTATCTCTGTACGAAGCAAGTGCTCACCCACACAGGGAACTTTACTCTTTTAAATGGCTAAGATCATATGAACTTTGGAAACACAACTGTGCTAACCTCAGTGCCCTGGCTAAAGTCTGACTTGTGCATTTATGCCAAAAGAATAACCACCTCTCTGGCATCTGCTTAATGTGGTACTTCTGTTACCATTCTAAACCAGTATTTGTGGTTAAAGAGCTGCCAAATTTCATCTCCAAGGTGGGCATTTATTTCAAGAGATATATTAAATATATTTCAGTCTAATTTGGGACAACTTTTAGAGTTTCCTGGGCACATACCACCTATCTAGCAGATGGAGGAGGTAAAGACCTACTGATTTATGCCCAGAGAAGGTAAAAGGGAATTCTGCTGTAAAGATATGTTTTCTACTCCCTGCAGACCCCTTTTTGTGACCTTGTAGCAAAAGAACAAAACTCTAAACAAAATAAAAAAGGTAAGGAAAGATCAGGAAGAGGCCACATTCACTAACAAAATCCACAGCAGAGGAAAGGCCCAGAGGAATGTGCATGTTCATGCTGTGCTCTGGACCATGCATGCATAAGTGTTTGATGCAGGGACAGAGCT